AGGAATAATGTGTTCTATCTAATTTTTTAAAGCTTTGACATAAAATTATTCATAATATCCCTATATTATTCCTAATGTCTCTAGAAGATGTATTTTTGTCCCTCTTTTCTGTCTTAATATTACAAATTTGTGGAGTTTTCCAGCCATCTTCTAAATTGTTGATTCTATCAATGTTTTCAAATAACTATTTTTAAAGCTTCTACTCGTATCTATTTTCTTTGGATATAATACACAAGTCTTTTTGTAGCTTGTTGGTATAGAAATTTAGATTTTTAAACTTTCTTCATTTCCAGCAAGTAAGTTTAGAACTCAAAAATCTTCTCTGAGCACCTCTTTAGCTGCATCCTACAAGTTTTCATGTTTTATTAGCTCATTAGCATTCAGTTCAAGATACTTTCTAATTTCCATCATGATTTCTTCATTGCCCATGAGTTATTTAGAAAAAAAAAAAGAGTGTTAAAATCTTCAAACACCATGACTGAGAATTGGTCTACTTAAAAAATAATTCTATTGCTATTAGCTTTATATGTTTTGAAGTTTTGTTTTTGGGGAAAAAATAATTGTTCTATTTTCCTCTTGAATTATCTTTTAATCAGTACCTCAAATAAAATATCTTGTCTTATGCCTTATCTGACATGAATATAGGTACAAGTTTCTGATATGAATATAGGTATAGGTTCATCTGGTTGATATCAGTACAGTATATCTTTTACCTATCTTTTTTTTTACTTTTAACCTTTCTATGTCTTTATATTTATACAAGCTCTTCAACTTACAATAGGGTTACCTCCCAATAAATTCATTGTAGTTTGAAAATATTCCATGTTGAAAATGCATTGAGTACATCTATCCTAACAAACATCATAGCCTAACTTAGCCTATCTTAGATGGGCTCCAAACACTTACCTTGTTCTAGAGGGAGGTAAATGTAGAATATGGCAAAATTGTGTAACACAAAGCCTACTATGGTGGATACTATACACAGATGGGCATTTTGTAGACATGAAGGTGTCAGAGGTATGTGAACCAGAGCAACTCCATCTTAAATAGCAACTGGGTAAAATAAGGCTGAGACTTACTGGGCTGCAATTCCAGACAGTTAAGGCATTCTAAGTCATAGGATGAGACACGAGGTCAGCACAAGATAGAGGTCATAAAGACCTTACTGATAAAACAGGTTGCAGTAAAGAAGCTGACTAAAACCCATCAAAACCAAGATGGCCATGAGAGTGACCTCCAGTCATGCTCACTGCTACACTCCCACCAGTGCCATGAGAGTTTACAAGTCACATGGCAATATCAGGAAGTTATGGTCTAAAAAGAGGAGGCATAAAAAAATCCAACCCTTGTATAGCCTATTATCAAGAAATAACCATAAAAATGGGCAATCAGCAGCCCTCAGCACTGCTCTGTCTATGGAGTAGCCATTCTTTTCTTCCTTTACTTTATTAATAAACTTACTTTCCCTTTACTCTATGGGCTCGCCCTGAATTCTTTCTTGCATGAGATCCAAGAACCCTCTCCTGCGGTCTGGATCAGGACCCCTCTCTTGTAACGAAGGGATGCAAAAATATAAAACACAATATCAAAAAGAAATCCTGGAAACACAGTACACTGTAAAGTATTCTTTGTTTACCCCTTGCTATTGCATAGCTAACCGGGAGCTGTGGCTTGCTACCTGCCCAGCATCACAAGAGAGCATCTTATCACCTACTTCTAGCCCAGAAAAAAATTGAAATTCTAAATTGAAGTAAGATTTCTACCAAATGTGCCTCACTTTTGCACCCATCCTAAAGTCAAAAAGCTGTAAAGCAAACCATTGGAAGTTGAGGGACTGTCTGTAAAGTGTTGTGTTACAAAGAGCACATAGTTGCTTTTCTTATTCTGCTTGGCAGTCTTTAATATAATTACTGATAAAGTTGGACTTCAGTTTACCTTTGTAAAAAAAATTTGTGTTGTGATATCACTCTGACTGCTTGCTGGGTGTGCTACTCCCTCCCGCTTTTAAGGTGTTGAATGTCAATGCATACCATACCAAAGAGAGCAGTCGTGGTAATCTAAATGTCTATTATTTACTTAGGTCTGTGCAAAGCAAAGGTGTTTCCTTGAGCAAAGAATGGAGTCCAGCAGCAACAGAGATCTCTGAAGACTGACTGAGGGAAAGAGAGAGAGAGCATACAGTCTGGGGGACAAATACTTCTAGAACAAGACCCTCACAGTGGGATTTTTAAAAGATTCTAGAGGAGGTCTATTTCAGGCAGTCTTGGGAGATCCAACTAGGCAGGGTAGGGTGCTGTGCATGCAGCTTATTGGGGTGCAGCTGAAGTTAGTGCAGTTCATATTTCCTGGTCCTTGCCCAGTAAATTCAAATGGGCATCTATCAGTTTTCACTCTGTGGGTACAACTAAGTAGGCCACCAAGTTCATCTGACAGGTATTCAATGGTTTAATCAAAGGGCTTGATTTAATGGCTTAAGTGTGAATTTTCTGGGGATGAATCAATTGTATTTCTCCACAATTTGTACCCTCTGTTTGAATTCTTTTATTCCTTCTTTTGTTCATTCTTTTAGATTAACCAAATACATTTTTAAAGTTTTCTCCTTTCTAATTATTTAGTGTAGTATTATTATATAATCTGCAGCCTTAACTAAATATTAAAAATTAATCATTGTATTATGTCTCAAATAATGCAAGAATTGTACAATTCATTTCCATTTACTTTGCTTGTCATTAACCAACAAGATATTCTTAATTTTCTTATAAACCATCAATATTATTTGATATTTACTCCCATATTCAGTTTCTAGTGTTTTTCATTCTTCTTCCAGTTCTGTGCTTCTATCTTAAATTATTTTCCTTCAGCTCAAAGATCTTTTTAAAATGTTCTTTATACTTTTAGCTGTCTGGAGAAAAAGGTTCTCAACCTTTGGTTGCCTGAATATGCCTTTGTCTTTGCTTCAATTTTGATCTTTATTTTATGCCATTTTCTCACGTAATTTTAACTGGGTTTTTTGTTTGTTTGTTTGTTTTGTTTACTTTCAGCACTTTCAAGGTGCCATTCTATTGTCTTCTGGCTTTTACAGTTTCTGTTGATGTCAACCATCAGTCTTATTTTAAGTTCCTACTTTGAAGATAATATTTCTTCTTTCTCAGGCTCATCTCTAAAGATGTTTTTTTGTTTGGTTGGTTTTTTTTTTTTTTTTTTTTTGGATTTAAAAGTTTTAGTGTGATGTGCCTAGGGGTGGTTTCTTTTTTCTTTTTTCTATCAAGGGCCCACTGAGTTTCGTGACTCTGTTGGTTTGTGCCTTTAATCATCCTAGACAACCTCAGCAATTATCACTTCAATTATTTTTTGAACCTGTTCTCTACCTCTTTCTGGAATTCCATTCAGACATGTTAGATCTTTGTCTGTCTTTCATTTTATTTTATACTTCATCTGTTTTCTTCATTCTTTTTCCTTTTTCTCTGTGCTTAACTTTACTTCTTAGTGATCTATCTTTGAGTTCATTAATTTTGTCTTTTGATGTTTCTGGTCTTATTTTAAGCCCATAAAATGATATGTTAATTTTGAACACTGTGTTTAATGTCTCTAGACCATTCATTTGATTCTCTTTTATAGATTACAGTCCTCTGTTGAAATACTTTATTTTTACTCATTTTTGCACATCTTTCCTATGTTCTCTTTAACATATTAACCAAAATTACTTTGAAGCTCTTGTCTCTATGCCCATGTCTTATTTTCTGTGGGTCTGTTTCTATTGCTTTATATTTTTGCCTGAATATAGATTGCATATTCTTGCATTTTCAGTAGTATGGTAAGTTTTGATAATATGCTAGACAGTGTCCAAAAAAAAGTCATAAAAGCTCTGGATGATATTTTTCACCAGTAACTATTTTCTCTTGCTTTCCTGCTAGGTAGATAAGGCAATTGTCTAATCACCTCAACCTATTCATAGATTAAGCCAAAACAAGACTAGTTAGGAGTCTTAGTATGACAAACTTCATCCTTTATACAACCCTTATTTTGGGGGATAGGGTGAGTGGCCCTTCTGGGCATTTTTCTCAAGTACCAGATGGATTTCTCTTTCCTCATCCTTGGGACACTGCAGGGAATTCAATTCTGTACTTCAGAAGTTTTGGATTTAACTCTTTTGCCTCTTGCATCCCCTGCAATAACTCACCTCTTCAACTCTCCCCACCAGTTCTGAAATCTAGTTCATTAGTAAATTTCTTGAAGAGGAGGCAAGTTGGGTGTTTGAATCAGGCTAACTTCCTCTGCTAGAACTGTTTCTCCTAAGCCTCCTAAGATTATGGAAGATTTTACTGAGCCTTTGAGAAGCATTTGATGTTTTTAAAGCCTTCTATGCTTTTTAGTTATCTAGTGATGCCTAACAAACTACCCTGAAACTCAGTTGCTTAAAGCAATAATAGCCATTTATTTTGATCATGAATCTGCAATTTGGGAAAGTTTTGATGGGGATGCCTCACTTCTTTGCCATGGAGCATTGGCTGGAGTGGTTCAACTGGGTTTGGAAGAATCCAGTTCTATGATGGCTTACTCACATGTCTGGCAAGTTGGTACTGGCTGTTGGCTGGGAGTTTAGCTGAGGCTACTGGCTAAGATTCCTCTCCACATGGGCAGGTCCATGTAGCTGTTTGGATATTCTCACAGCATGACGTTTGGGTTCTAAGAGGCAGGAAATGGAAGCTGCCAATCTTTTAAAGCCTGGGCTTAGAATTTGTTTCAGCATCACTTCTGTAGTATTTTATTTCTCAAAGCAGTCACTGAGCCTGCCTAGATTCAAGGATGAGGGACATAAATCTCAACTCTCAAAGGAAGAAATGTGAAAGAATTTATGACCATCTTTAATTCAGCACACACATGCCATCCCAAAGTTCAATAAATGTTCTATGAGAAAAACAGGCCACACTTTTGGGTCTCCTTAAGATTCTGACATGTCATTTCAGTCTTTCACAATCATTGAAAGCCTTGTTAGTTTCACTTTCCTTTAGTAGCGTGCCTCTGAGTTAGTTACTGAATATAACCTTCAGTTCAGGCCCAGAGTCTGAAAATGTTCCCAGTGATGAAACTACTGGGGAGGATTATTCACCTCTGAATGGCATCCCTTGTCTGGAATTCAAATTCATCCAAGTTGTTTCTATAGCTCTTCAACAACTTGAAGCCATGGTAAGTATTGAGACTTCTCAGTAAGTATACAAAAAGTAAGAAGAGAAGAGTGCCCAAGAGAGAATCTCAAGAACCTCTAAAGTTAAAGATACAGAGATGAAGGTTAGATCAACAAACAACAGGCAAAGGAGTAGGAAGAAAACCAAAAGAGTGCAGTGTAATGGAAGCTAAGTTTAAGTGTTGACTAGCTGGGAGTGGTCTACGATGTCAGTTGTTATAAAGAGGATATAAGATAAAGAAGAAAGCTTGCGTTGGATTTCGTGACAGGTAGACAAGGTTCAAGAGGTGGTTAGGTGCAAGGATGGGTACAGCAGCCAGCAGGCCATGGAATAAGGAGCAAGTGGGAGGTGATTGATTAAGTGAACACAATGTGAGTGAAAAACTCTTTCAGTGAATATGTTACAGGAAACGGGCCCCAATCCAGACCCCAAGAGATGGTTCTTAGACCTCACATAAGAAAGAATTCAGAGTGAGTCCTAAAATTCTTGTCTTCTATTTAATCAGGAAGAAAGAATGAATGCCTGTGTAGCTAAGTTTTAGGGAGCAGACAATGAAGGTGGTTTCTTTCTTGTTGTTGTTGTTGTTTTTTTTTTTTTTTTTTTTTTTTTGAGACAGAGTCTTTCTCTGTCACCCAGGCTGGAGTGCAGTGGTGCGATCTCAGCTTACAGAAACCTCCGCCTACCAGGTTCAAGCAATTCTCCTGCCTCAGCCTCCTGAGTAGCAGGGATTATAGGCATGCACCACCATGCCCAGCTATTTTATATTTTTTTAGTAGAAACGGGGTTTCATCGTGTTGGTCAGGCTGGTCTCAAACTCCTGATCTCAGGTGATCCGCCTGCCTCAGCCTCCCAAAGTGCTGGGATTACAATGGACATGGTTTCCATAGAATGGACTTCATTTGTAAATAGAAATTTAGTTCCCTGGTAAACACACGAGAAAGCATGCAGGGGTAGAAGATTTGAGACGAAATGATGTTTGAAATAAACTCTGTGGGGAACAAAAAAGACAAATATAAAAGAATTACAGAGCAACTTTGGGTCCAATCTCAGTCTCACCAGTCAGAGATGTTTGCAATATAAGAAAACACAGAAATCAAACAGCTGATCTGGAGTTAGGGTTTTATGGGGCACATGTAACAGAAGGACAACAGATCCAAGGAACTGAGGAGTTTGGCAAATGAGCAAATAAAGCAATAGCTAATGAAGTCTAGGCTATAAGGATGTAAAGTTAGGATACAGTGATAGGATGGAATAAATTAGAGCAATCAGAGATATTTGGATGAGGTCAAAGAACTGGGATGAGAGGAAAGGGAGATATGTGTGGCCAGAGAGTAAGATGTGGAAAGTTAAGTTTTCAGAGGTGGAAGAGTTCTAAGCGATGGCAAGGTGAATGTAGCAGCCACCTGAGTAGAGGGCTGCAGTGAAGAGCTAGTGAAAAGTCATCGAAGCTGGGGAAGTCAGTCAAAGAGCAGCAAAGTCCAGAGGCTGAACTTGCAGCCCAAATGAAATCAGAAAAAAATGTCAACAGGATTAGAGGTGTCAATGAAGACAACGAAGTCGATTTCCAAGTGTATGAATGAGAGACCCTGACCAGGGCATGGGTGAGTGACAGCAATAGAGAGAGTAAGTGAATGTCGGCCAACATGGGGCATGACCTTCCAAGGAGCAGGAGCAAGGACTGGTATAGATTTGGAAGTGGCATTGGGCCTCCAGAAGGATGAAGTCTACACCATCTCTCAAGGCTCAGGTCTGTGAAGCGTGGGCCAATGAGCACCATCTTTTTAAGAGGGCCATAGACAATAGGAATTCTCAGAAGGGAAGCCTGATGTCTTCTGCTGTGAAGAGAAGCTGCTCCTGCTACTGTCATCTGCCCCCTGCTGTCGCGGGGCATAGACCAACCTCTTTTGAGACAATGGGCTGTTTTTAGATGTGTGCTGGTGACCGTTTACCTGACCAAGAGGAAGCATGTCTGCCACCACACTCTCCGTCCACACAACTCCTTCTGAAGGTGGTGAGACTGTCTTTGCAAAACTTTTAACAGTGAGAAAATTATGGCAGTGAAAGACATCTGATTAAATGAATCCCCTTCTTGCCTTTAGCCTTCAAACTGTCCTTAATCATTCCTGGGTCTGGGCCAGGCTAAATTTGGGGGACATTTAGTTTATAGTTTAAATGGCAATAGCCCTTCCCCAAAACTAAGCTGCCTTTGTAAAGCTAATAAGAGGCCACCAGGCTAGGAGGATGAAAGGAGTCTGAATTCTGTTAAGGTGTACACATAAACAATTGCCAGCCATTATTCCAGAGGTTACAAAATGTTGATGAAAACAGTCAAACTCTGTACAATATTTTAAGAGATTTATTCTGAACCATATATGAGTGACCATGGCCCCTGACACAGACCTCAGGAGGTCCTGAGAATGTGTGTCCAGGGTGGTCGGGGTGCAGCTTAGTTTTATACCTTTTAGGGAGGCATGAGACATCAATCAAATACATTTAAGGAATACATTGATTTGTTTCAGAAAGGCGGGACTACTTGATGTTGTGGGGACGGGTGCTTCCAGGCTATAGGTAAATTTAAACATTTTCTGGTTGACAATTGGTTGAGTTTGTCTAAAGACCTGGGATTGATAGAAAGGAAATGTTCAGGTTAAGATAAAAGACTGGAGACCAAGGCTCCTTTGAAGTCTTATGGTAGCTGCCCTTAGAGACAATAGTTGACAAATGTTTCCTATTCGGGTCTATAAAAGGTGCTAGATTCTTAGGTAATCTTTTTAGGATTGGAAGGACCTGGAAGAAAAAGATCTAGCTACGTTAATAGAGATTCTGTACAGATGCAAATTTTCTCCCAGAAAGGATGGCTTGCAGGACCGTTTAAAGATATGGCAAATAAACATGTTTTGGGGTAAAAGAGTTTGATTTTCTTCCTTGCCTTGTAATGTTATGCCAGAGGCCATTTTGAAAATAAGTCATGATGTATAGGGTTAAGTAAAACCCATCTGATGAGAATTTATGTTTTGTGGGGGATGACTCCCCAGATCCCTTAGACAGGAATTTGGGCAAGATAAAAACATCAGAGCTTAGTCCTCAAAGATATGCAATTTCCGGCCGGGCGCGGTGGCTCAAGCCTGTAATCCCAGCACTTTGGGAGGCCGAGACGGGTGGATCACAAGGTCAGGAGATCGAGACCATCCTGGCTAACACGGTGAAACCCCGTCTCTACTAATAAACAAAAAACTAGCCGGGCGAGGTAGTCCCAGCTACTCGGGAGCCTGAGGCAGGAGAATGGCTTGAACCCGGGAGGCAGAGCTTGCAGTGAGCCGAGATCTGGCCACTGCACTCCAGCCTGGGTGACAGAGCAAGACTCCGTCTCAAAAAAAAAAAAAAATACAATTTCCCCCAATTACTTCTGCAGGTAACATCACTATTGTAGAACCTGAGATTGGCCTTTTGCGATGTCTTTTCAGGTTTTTTGCATGTCTGACAACGATGACTTCACCTGGACCCACCCGCCGCTCCTGTGGCCCCACACAGAAGTGATCCGGCACACATGAGAACCATTTCCTACACCCTTATGACTGCACCCCAACCAATCAGCAGCAAGCTCCCATTGCCTAGCTACCCCTCCTCTTCCTCCAAACTATCTTTGGAAAACCCTAGCCTCTGAATTTTCAGGGAGGCTGATTTGAGTACAAATAAAATTCTGATCTCTTGTTTAGCTGGCTCTACATGTATAACACTCTTTAGCAATTCCCTCCCTTGATAAACCGGCTTTATCTAGGCAGAGGCCAAGAAGAACCCATTGGATGGTTACAATGGCACGGAGCCCCCAGACTCTGGGACCTGGAGCTCATTCACATAGGCAGGTCTACTATCCGGGCATGGTCCCCTTGCCTGGGCAACCAACAGCTTCTCCCACTACTGTTCTCTGTTTCCCCAGCTCCCTCTCTCCCAAAGCATCATGACATTAACTGCCACAGGTTAGTGCAGGAAAACAGAGGCAGACTTTATACAGAAATGGACGTGGACGTTCTGAAAGACCAATGGCTCAGTGTGCTTTAGACCTAAAAATTCACTTTGATTCTGACACAGAAAAGTGAGGCAAGAACTGAGGCACCACATGCTCCTGTGTTAGCCGAGACAGGGTCGACTGACCAGAACACGTGTGGCAGCGGCTGTTACCAATGCATAGGTGAATTTCTGCAAAACAAGATCAAGCATCTCTTTAAATTAATGGTGCTAATTTGAACGTCACTGGCTTTATAGGCTTGTTTCCATGTTATTTGTGAATGCGTTTAGTTTTTTTGAAGCTGTAAGTGTTTTTACGTTTGTAAAATTTAAGTAACATTGTAATTCAACACTGTAATCTGTGGATTATTTCCTGGGAAGAGGTTATATCTATACATTATTCTATTTTGAGAAACCCTCATACAAAGGAAGCCAAACAACAGAGAAGTCTCAGCTGAAGTCGGATGACAGCAATTGCACTGGGCCAAGCCTTGCAGTTCCTCTAGGATGCCTGTGAGGTTTGAGGATGAGATCATAGGTCTTCAGAGTCTTTGCTCCAAATGCCCAGGAAGGAAGAGCTCTGCTTTGCAAACACTGTTGTTCAGCCTCTGCTTTAGCTCACTAAAGAAGGGGGTGGGGGAGGGAGGGAATAGATACTTTCATCTGTGTCTGGGGGTACCCTAGAGAACATGTGTATGGAATTACACTGTCTCTTACAAGCACTTTTAGTTTGCTCTGCCTGCAATTCAAGGATGGCAGAATGCAAGATAGCCTATACTGTCAAGATGTCCCCGACTCAGAGCTGCTTAGAAATGCCACCTGTAATCTGAAAACAAAACCCACCTTCCCTCTTCAAGAACAGTCAGTAGTTTCATTATGCTAAGTACTTTTCAACCTAGGAAGCTTCAGGTTGCTGAATTAAGCAACACAACAGCACTCTTTTAAGGCTTAAGACTATACATTTAGAAAACTGATAACATGTCTCATGCCAGAAAGCCTAAAGTCTATCAAGCAATTTCCAAGGATTGCATTTCACAAACTCGCTTTCCAATCCAAGTACAGATATACTCAAACACCCTCACTCTTTACAAGTGACCCTTGGCCTCGCTAAGGCTTCCTAGATAAATGTAGATGGAGACTTTTAGAACCAACAAAGACAAACATTTGGTTGAAAATGTAAATGCAATTGTTCAAGCTGTAAATTAAATTCAATTACCTACAGAGAGTAGTATCTTAAGCCTCCTGCTAATTATACTTGTGAGTTTCAACTCATTAAACTCGGATAATGCCCAGAAAGACAGAATCTGGCAGCAGCGAGCCATGCATCCCGCCGGCCTGTCGCCTCTGTGGCTTTCATCACTGTGGTTCTGTATGTTGGCAAACCCAATTCACATCCAAAGAGTTTTTAAGAAAAAAGTGGACAGAGACATCCAGGGTGTGATAATAGAAAATGTAGCTAAGAGCAGAGGCTCAATGTGCACCCTCTGAAGTTATCTACAAAATGCTGGTTTGGGGTACAAGGGAGAACGTAAGGCTTTCCGAGAGAAATGCTAATACTTGGAGGTGATGAATCCTCCCCTACACCCGCCCACATACGCCCCCAGGGCAGGAATCCACAGAGCAGGCAGATTCCATTTCTTCTCTCCTTGGAGTGGGCAATTCAGCCTTTAGTTGGGCTCTTGGGAAGCAGAGCCGATTCAGCAACACTGGGAAGCATGTTCAGCACCCTGTGTGGTCGCAGGGGCGCTTTTCACCCCTTTCAGCATTACTTCTCCTTTTTGCTGTTTCTCTTACCCCAACTTTGACCCCTTGGTGACCAGGACATCTGATAAGTCCATCGACAGGAAAGAGATGACAGTGTGCTAACTAAGCCAGGAACGTTTGCATTTTTTAAAAGGCCCCACGGGAAACACAACTTCAGCACAGAAAACAAATTGCTGATGTGAACATTTTAAGTATTAATCAAGGGGATGTGTGGAGAGAGGAAGCTTTTCCTACAATCTTCAAGTCACAGTCGGCAGGCCATTCCAGCCACAAGGCCAACCCTGATCACAGGTTAATTAGACTGGTTCAAAAGATGGTGATTGAGAGGCTCCTATAAACCAGGCCTTGTACTAGGTTCCTGCTCTGGAAACACTTTTAAGAGGGCATGGGGGTAAGCCTTAAAGAACCTGAGAGTTCAAATTCACTTCGAGTGAATGGATTTTGTTATATCATAACCATTTGCTATGGATGGTAGATAACCTTACACATTCTTCACAATATTTTGGAGACCAGAAATTATGTCACTGTATTGGTCATCTACAGCTGTGTAACAAACCACCCCAAAACATGGCCACTCAAAGCAACAACCACTCTTTTAGCTCATTATTCTCCTGGGCAGTTCTTGCATGAGCCCTGAGGGTCTCTGCTGGTCTTGGTCCTGTGTCTGTGCTGATCTGGTAAACTGGCAGGATGCTGGCTGGTCCTGGTGGCCTCACTCACATGGCTGGTGCTTGGCTGGCTGTTGGCTGGGGCAAGTGGGTGACTGGACCATGCTCTTCTCATCATCCACCAGGGTGGCCAGGGCTCCTTGACATGACAGAGGCAGTGTTCCAGGAATACTTGGAGGGTATTATGGTTTGGCTCTGTGTCCCCACCCAAATATCATCTCAAATTGTAGTCCTCATAATCCCCACATGTTGAGGGAGAAGCCCAGTGGGAGGTGATTGGATCATGGGGACAGTTTTCTCCGTGCCATTCTCATGATAGTGAGTTAATTCTCATGAACTCTGATGGTTTTTGTCCCTTTGCTTCTCACTCTTCTCTCTCCTGCTGCCTTGTGAAGAGAGTGTCTGCTTCCCTTTCTGCCATGATTGTAAGTTTCCTGAGGCCTCTCCAGCCATGCAGAACTGTGAGTCAATTAAACCTCTTTCCCTTATAAATTACCTGAGTTTCAGGTGGTATCTTCATAGCAATGTGAAAGTGGACTAATACAGAGGGCAAACCCAACCTGCAAGCTCTTTTCAGATATCCGCTTGTGTCAGATTTGTTGTTGTACCATTGGTTCAAGCAAATCACATGGCCCAGCCCAGACTCACTGTCCAGAGGGGTTCACCCAAAAGTGTAGATGCTTGTGCATTTCCACTTGTAAAGTTCAGCTAATGCTCAGAAGGAAGAACTCAGGCAGCAGCAATGTGGACCATTACTGAAAAAATCAACCCAAGTTACCTATTATAATACATGGCTTTAAAAACAGAAACAAAAACCAAGAGTCCTGCCCTCTGAAGTGATGCTTCCTAGACTTCTGAGTTATTTGGATGTATTAGTCTGTTCTCATGCTGCTGAGATAGTGTGAGACATACCTGAGAGTGGGTAATTTATAAAAGAAAGAGGTTTAATTGACTCACAGCTCCACATGGCTAGGGAGGCCTCACAATCATGGCAGAAGGTGAATGAAGAGCAAAGTCATGTCTTACATGGCAGCAGGCAAGACGATTTGTGCAGGGGAACTCCCATTTATAAAACCATCAGGTCTTGTGAGACTTATTCACTATCATGAGCACAGTATGGGTGAAATTGCCCCCACGATTCAATTATCTCCACTTGGCTTCACCCTTGGCACGTGGGGATTATGATCATTCAAGGTGAGATTTGGATGGGTACACAGCCAAACCATATCAGTGGACCAACAATATTTAAGAAGAAATAAGGAAGGTAGAGTGAAACATAGGCTTGCTAAAATGTTTACGTTGTCAACTAAGAATATTAGATAACAAACAGGTAATTACCATCTACTGCCACGAGTATTTTAATTTAGAAAAAGGCCATTTCAATACCAAAGTTGAAGCAATACCTGAGTTTAGAATAAACATTAGTTCTTTAATTTGAATAAATTTGCTGTTATGAAAAGCTATCTTCATTGTCCTTATTTTTCTCATTTCACTGAAGATCAGTGGAAAGTCTGATTTGAATGGTCCTGCTCTGGTGACTGACATCTTAGAACAACCGGCCTAGAGAAAGATAACAGGGTAAGGCAGGCTTTGCTGATTAAGTAATTAAGTTAACTACTACTAAGTTAGTTGTTATTTAAACCTGTATTCCACGTGCTTATTAGCCCTGCACTACTTTATTTAAGGTGTGATAGAAGGTAAAGAGCAATCTTCCTCAAGCCTTCTATAGTCTAGCTTGGAAGTAAAGACTGGGCATTAACATAGCTGGTCAAAAATCTAGAAAACAGAAGTCCCAAAGCAGAGCTCAGAAGGGAATTGCAAAAACAATAGAGGTGAGGCTGAAATAGGACTGTGAAACCAGCTCACAAGCAAGAAAGAACAAGGTTGCTAATTCATTTTACATTTAGCGCATTAATCCTGGCTTGAATAGAAGCTCCCTGGAGCCACATGGAAGACTATTTTCTTACATATCTCCGGGATTCTGTCTTGTCAGCTTAGATCATAACTCTACCAGGCAAGAATAGTGTCTACTTCTGAGCTGTGAACAACATTAGCCTAGACTACACTGGTTACATGAGTACGACATCCTTCCAAACGTGTCGCTTTTACATATTTGAATTTACTGATCACACTGAAAAGAGAAGTGAGAAAATGGAGTTTCCAAGTCCATTGCTTTCTAAGATTCTTGGAATCTTTTTGCAGAAGAAGTGCCAGTTGAAATGACACACATGCCAGGAACTTGCCATTCTTCCTCTTTTTGGAACTCTGTAGCTACATT